GAGGGGGGGGGTCGCATTTGTGTTCTGGGAGGGGAGAGGGGTCGCATTGCGCAGTTCTGCTGGTTACGTTTGGTCATCAGGGGCGCAGGGCATAGGTGCGTGCGAAAAAAGTTGCCGTTTCACTGGTTGTATATACCCCCCTCCGTCAACTGGTCTCAGAATCAAATACTATAGAAGAGGGAGAGGTCGCGGTGGGGGAAGGCTGGTTGTATTGGGGGGGGGTCGCAAAAATCCCGAAAATGTTCGAACGTGACGGTTGACCCTGCTTGCATCATTTTTAGCGTGAAATAGTCTGGAAGTTAGTATCTAAGTCAGCAAGGAGCTCCTGACCCTATTACGATATTGCACTAAACTATTGTTCACTTTAAACTGTTCGCAGCTCGAGAAAGGTGCCAATCCACAAAAACATACCTTTAAAATCCAGAATTTCTTACAGTATGTGGGAGTGAGAATTTTTCAGTTTTTCAAGGAAGTGTTTAGCCTCCTCATGAGGTAAACATCCCGATTTCGCTCTGTCACAAATTGAAATTAATTTTAATTCGGACTTTCAGTTCATCTCCGATGCCGATACGATAGTCACGTACCCGTTGATCAGCGAAACACTGCTGGCGCTCAGTTCATCACGACAAATCGAGAATCCATTCGTCGACAAAAGAGTGGGACCAGCATTCACTCGAGTTTTCGGTCAACCGAATGACGCCACTTATCGAGTCGCCAATGGTGAGACTAAATGGTCGCGTATAGGTTTAAAAAATTTTCTATGAAGTTTATACTGCTTCCCAAATGCTTGCGATAAAAGCTTCTTAGCGATGAAATGGCTCGGAAGGCGGCCGGTAGTGCTTTGTCCAAGGAATCGAGCTCCGCCCAGGTATTCTGAGTAACGCGTCACCCTGAAAGATTTAGCTAGAGCTACGTCTCTCCAGGACGGTAAACGCCTTGATTTCAGATGCATAAAGGCAGCGATTACCATATTTCAAGAAAGGTTCAGAGAAGCCGTGGTGAAACTCAATGGTACGCCAGTGGCGGAAAAACCGGAGAAACGTCGTGAAAACGCAAAAAAGGACCTTCCTTTTTTGGCCACAGGAACAGGTAACAGCTCAGAAAGCGGACGTATGAACGAGTTCACCGCAACGCGTTTGGTGGCACCATGCCAAACCACGCTCCAATCGAGTTGCTCCAGTTGTGCCGCTGCTGGCAACGCAGCTCGTCCAAATCAACTAGTGGGCGGATCGCTTTTGGGGGCGGAGTGCTTTCGAAGTCCTGCTCAGCAACCAGCGCACCTTTCGTCGTGAAAGCGGCACACCTCGCGTCCTTGGCAGCCAAGTAACTGATTCGATTGATGCGTATTCTTCCTAGTTGCTCTTACTTTATCGTAATCGCTGCCTTTAAGGTCTCGCAATTAGCAGGTTGCCTCTCATTCAAATGTCTGCGTGATTTCCGAATAAGGTGTAATCCACGACCTCCCATTTAGCTTCCATTCCTTTGTCTCCTCGTTCAGATAGCTAGTGGTGTCAAATCATGAGCTCTAGAAGTTGAAAGCTTGAGAGAAATGGGTAGACATTGATCTTTTCAATTGTCCGATTCAGCATTTCGTTCCTCTAAACAAAATCTGTTGGAG